TATATATATATATATATATATATATATATATATATATATATATTGCAACAGAAATAAATAAAAAGAAAATAAAAGAAAACTGAGAGACAAAAGTAATTATAATATACATAGATAATAATATATATCCTATAGGTAATATATATATCCTATATATAAATTTATATATAGGATGCTTTACAAGTAATAATAAAAATTATAAGCAAAATTACAAATGTTTATAAATACTTAATGATAAAGTACTTTAGATACCTGTGTATCAAATTGGTTAGGGGTTCTATCAACTTTTTGCCAAGCCTAGGTTCTAGAGGTGTCAATGCTCCAAACTGGAAATATAACATCATATTGCATTCTAGGGATTACTTGGAAAAAATATTAGGTACAAATTTTTTGGGACACGCTTAACTTCATTAATGCATGAAATATCTCATATCAAGCAAACTTCTATATATAAAATACAATATAAATAATGCTACAAAATGCAATATATACCACTAGTATGCATAAATTGCAATGGACATTTACATATGTGTAATAATTTACATATGAAGAACAATATGCAAACAGAAAGAAATCAAACAATATAAAACCTTGAAATCAGGTCAATTAATGGTTGAGTAAGTCTCCGACCCAGTTTTGGCTCAATCAGAGTTATAGTTGAGAACTGAGCATGAGAAAGAAAACCAACATGTCTTACGATAAAAAAAAGATTTGTACATAAGAAATTGCATTTAATATCATAAAAATACAAAGTTCTCATTAGAATAGTTTAGACGCGTCATTATTTCATGTTTAACAAAAAGGTGTAAAAGAATATTATGCTAATTCCTCAAAAATTTGAGGTAACAATAATACTCACCAATTTGATGATTTTGATAAGCATCCAATTATTCGTAGAGGTTGTCATTAGCTTAAAGAAGACAGGTGCTAAGCTCAAGTAATTCTTTGGATTTTTTCTGGCTAATTCGCAAACTACATTTACTGCTGCACTTTGAACACCGCTGTCTGGATCCTCAAGTTTTTCCTTCAACCTAGGGAAAGCTGGTCTTAAAGCCTCTGGAAATCTCAGAAATACTTTATACATCATCAATACCGCCTTCTTGCGTAAGTACGGCTTGGTAGAAGTCAACAGAGTCATAATATCATGAACCAGATCGCGTGCTAAATCTGGACTTATGAAGCAAGATAAACCACTTAGTGCTAAACCGGCATCATACTGGTTCTGGCTGTTCAAATCTTTACGAATCATGTTTGTTGTTAACATCAGCAACTGCAATAAAAAAAGAAAGAACATTGACAAATAGGTCCATAATAAACTGATATTCTCGTAGCTTTAATAATTTGACAAAGTTTACCTCTGTATCTGTGTGAAAGCTCTGACTTGCAGCAAGATAGCCAATTCGTTTGTAAGTAAACTTTGCGGATGACATTACTTCTATTATATTAAAGCCAGCCCAACTAATGTCATATCCTAACATCTGGAGCTAAACACACAAGAATAAATTAGATATACACATTCGGGATAAGTTGAATTCAATCGAACCGAGTCATGTCGAATACATCGTGTAAATCGGATTAACATCGACCTTCGTGTTAAACTTACATATGTTAGCTTCGCCACGGCGTTCGCCTTGACCGCCACATTATCTTGCCGCAATTCCTGCTTGATCTCTTCGATGCACTGCGCGATGTATTTAGCCTGGCACAAAAAATCGTAAGATTCTCTTGAGTCAAACGGCAATTTGCGGAAAGTGATGATACGGACGAGCGAGGAAAGTAAGGTTAGGTCAGGATGTGTAACAACTTCACCGGGGGAGTATTCGCGAGAACGAAGCATATGGGAGTCACCTCGTTTTCCTTATTGTTCCTGATGCCGCGCACCAGATCCGTCAGGTTCTTGTCGAACATCCGCTCGAAGTTCCCCTTTACCTTGCGGAGTGCCATGATCGCATTTAAAAAATTAAATGCCGTGTTCACGATATCACTTAGGGGGCTTTCTCGGGCATTGGCCGGGCGTTCTGACTCACACGAACAACACGTCGTCCCGATACCATTACCGTAGGTTGAATTTCGTAAACATCAAGCTCCAGTCTTGCATTCACATTTTTTGACAGATCCACAGATAAGAGGTCTATTCGAAAATCATACCTAAGAAATGTCAAGAGAGAAAAAGAGAGAGAGAGAAAGCGGCCAACCTATCTGACGCAGTCACTCATGGAGCACGCAATGTCATCAGTGTGCGCTCGACTATCGCGCCTTCGAACGACTGCGCCACTAATAAGTCCGATGCTCATGTAAATTGTTGTTCACGTTTATCGCAAACTTCAACTCCACTTCACGTCCAAACTTAAATTCCGAGTTCAAACGTCAAAGTTCGTGTCAGATTCAATGTTTACGTCTGGAACGAAGTAAAAGATTACTTACGGCGTTTGAAAGAGAACACATGAAAGCGGTAACAAGGTGCAGAAAGTGCAACTGAAATCAGCCGCGTTCAACTTCGAGAGTCGCTCGACAAGTAATTAGCGCACAATTATCACCTATTAGGTCTCATTTAATCGAGCCTCTCTTCTCCTCTATGCATATTACAGCTAGATACTCATCTATTATGAAAAGAACATAAATAGTTAGCGATTAATTAACCATTCAATTAACTCGGGTCGTCGATTGCTCTGATCTTTGAACGTAGCTGAAGGTCGCGCGTACTTGGATAAAATTCATATATCTCGTATCGCACGGTCTCGATATAGCTCGCGATAACTTCATGTAGACGACGAGCTACTCTTCGTCTCGTCTACTGCATCGTGCTCGGAGCTGAATGTAGAAAGGAGCAGCAAGTCGCCGGCCAATTAATCGAAGCCGTCGATGTAACTGACCCTCCTCGCATTCGTTCACGCATACACACACACGCACCCGTTCACGATCGGCTTTTCTTTGTATTGACCCACCCACACTCCGCTCATGAGACGAGCGTTTGTTTCAGATTGTTCTCAACCTTCGCAGTCGATCGTCGTCGTGAGGAGAGAAAGAGAGTGCGAGAGAACGAAAGGCATGTCTGAGGAGCCGAGACAAAGGCCCGCCGAGCGCTAAATATTCGCACGGATCGCCGTGAATTGACAGATCGATCATGTAGCGAGGTGCATCGCGCGTTTTCCTGCGACACGAGGCCGCGCAGCGCTACGAGGCCGTTTTGAAGTGAGAAAGTCGTCGAGGAGCGGAGACTCTCCGCCACTGTGCGTATCCGCCCGCCGTCTCACCGCGCCATTTGTCTGGGCATCACTGGCCGCGGACCGTGATCGGCACACACAACACACTGTGGCATGGTTCGACGACGCACCGAACGCTCCCACCGAGGTTGAGAACCGCGTTCTCGGGCTCTTGTACATTAATCTTTTATCTACGCGAACGCGCCGAAAATTGCACGATGAAAGGAAACGTCTCGTAGCACCGGCCCCGGTAACGGGCGTCCCGTGTCATATGGCCGCGCTCGCGCTGGGAAATCCGATCCGTTTTGTTTACGTCGCAAAATACGTCGGATTGTCTCGTCGGTGTTGAGACTGCTTCGTTACGTTGTGCAAAAAACCTCGTCGATGCACCGTGCAACATTAATGTAACATATTGCGATAATGTCTTTGATGTCTCGTTTGAATTATTGTTCAACAGAGAACCTTTCATTTCTTGCCTCATGTATGTGTAAGATTGTTTATGATCGTATATTTGAAGAAGTGTCTGCCAACCGCACATTCTTTCTATTTTTCTATATAGATTCTTTATTATTTTTCTGTGTATATTTTACAGATAACTCACAGCAGATGAATGTTACTCCCTCAGCAGAACAATGACTTCGGGTTATTTTACTTTACCGCTCAACATGGACAGGGTGTGCAGAATTTGCCTCGCTGAGGGCACTAATCTGTCACCGATCTTCTCCACTGATCAAGAGGTGAATGATTTCCCAGGCCTCTCCCAGAAGATACAAGTCTGCGGTTCCATTGAGATACACGAGCAGGATGGACTGCCTTCCTTGATATGCGACGTTTGTGCCTATAAGGCTAGAGTTGCGCATGAGTTCAGACAACAGTGTCAGCATTCTGATGCGAGGTTGCGCATGTACTACAACAAGCCTGCAAAGGGTAATATTACTGTAAGTATTATAGAGAAGTCTGAAAGTCACACAGGTTAATTGCTACTGAATTCATATCTCGTGTAATAAATAGAGGAGCTTGTTCTTCTTTCAAGCTAATAATATAGCTTAAATATTAGAGAATATTGCATACATCTTTATTTTTTTAATCAGCATGCAAAAAGTGTGATAGTCTCCCCTACTTTGTTCAATCGTATTGTCTGTGTTGAGATGTGTTCATATCTGATATAATTTTTTCAGGATTCTTGTACACAGACTGATCTGCGAACTAGATTTGTGCTGCCAACGAAACCGAATCATCTCCAAGAAGAATATTTTGTTAAGGAAAACATGCAAGTAGTGACGAATCCACAGGAATATGTGCAGCCCACTGACTCGTTTCCCAGACACGAGACCAGTCTGAACACTAGTCAGATTCACATGCAAGATGAAAAGTTGTTCATGTGTTCTATCGGGTTTGAAGGAAGCAAGGAGGAGGCAGTGAAGAACCCTTGTATAACAGAGAATGTGGTACATGAGATAACAATAACGCAGCAGGACGCTCACGACACGTCCATTGTCAACTTACAAATGAAAGACGACGAAGTTGTGAAAGAAACCGAGCAGTACGTGGAGAAGAGCGACGCGCAAGAGCAGGAGCAATTCGTCAGTGAGAGTTTACCCGACAATAACATGGAGGAGGAGGTGGAGGAGGAAGAGGAGAACGTTCCGCAGAAGCGTACGTCTGCGAGAAAAACGAAGTCAGCGCCGGTCAAAACGTACAGCGACGACGAGATCGGCGACACTTATTACGATCTGAGCAGCGACAGTCAGGATTCGGTGGAGTCGAAATTCAAGTGTAAAATCTGCTCAAAGCAATACGCTACGCAGAAAGGCCTCAAGAAGCACTCGCTTGTCCACGAGAAGAAGTACAAATGTAACGTCTGCTTGAAGATGTTCTACAAGCAAGAGAACATGGAAAATCATCAAAAGATACACGCATCGAAGCCGCACGCATGCCAACTCTGTCACGCATGCTTCTCCAAACCGCAGAGTCTCGTGAAGCACTTGAAGTCCCACACGGAGAAGGTGAACAACATGATCAAGCAGATCAACACGGACGAGCGTAAAGACAATAAGGAGCCGAAGAAAGAGCTGAAAAGCGACGAGGACACGGATGACGAGACTGGCCCCGCGAATGAGGTGGATGAGTTCGAGAATGCGCCCGAGTTGTACAAGTGCGAGATCTGCAGCCAATACTGCTCGTCTTTGAAGAACCTGAGGAGGCACGCTCTAGTGCACGGCGACAAAAAATATTCTTGCACCGTGTGCAAGAAATGGTTTTTTAGGCCGGACACTCTGAAGAAACACGCGGAGAAGCACGGACACGGGCTACTGGATAATCTCGTGGACGACAACAAGCTGTACGACTCGGACGACGACGAGATGGCGCCGACGAACAACGCGGTGAATCCTTCCTCGGAGAACGAAAACGTGAAGAAAGAGGACAGCGACGAGGACGGTTCCGGGGAGTACAAGTGTCAGCATTGCGACAAGGTGATGGCTACGAAGAAGGGCCTGCGACGGCACGTGTCGATGCATAAACCGAAGGCCGAGCCGGTGACCTGCGAGATCTGCAGGAAGGTCTGCGCCAGCCAAGCGCGACTCGTTCTCCACCAGCGCACGCACAAGCCGAAGGAGAAAGTGCCACGCGAATATCTCTGCCATATCTGCAGCAAGGTGTACCCTAGCAATTCCTCCCTCACGTACCACATGCGTACCCACACCGGCGTCAAACCGCACGTGTGCAAGACGTGCAACAGCGGTTTCACGACCACCACCAGCCTGGCGAATCACATACGCATTCACACGGGCGACAAGCCGTACGTCTGCCACGTCTGCAGCGCCGCGTTCGCCGTGAGCTCGGCCTTCCGCAGGCACTTGACGCGGCACACCGGTGAGGCGAATTACCTCTGCAAGACATGCGGCAAAGCCTTTAAGCGTCTCAGCACCCTGAAGGAGCACACGTACACGCACTCAGGCGAGAAGCCGTACGTCTGCAAGACCTGCGGTGCGGCGTATAGCCACAGCGGCAGCCTGTTCGCCCATCAGAAGCGCTGTCGCGCCCAGTACAGCGAAATGATCGTCGAGGATCACCATCATCATCATATGCCGCACACAGTCACGCATATCCACGTGAACATGAACAACGTGAATAACGGACCTGCAGTGCGGCCTGTCACTGTGATAGGTCAAATATACTAAGAATATACTAATAATATACTAAGAAAACCGTGGACTGCGGTGTCACGTGTTACCGCGCGATGTAGTTTTGCGATTGTAATTGCAGTTGTATATCATCGACCGCATAATTGCAAGCCAACTGCACAGAGCGACGACTCCCGCTTTCACGTGTAGTGCACGTGTGCGAGACAAATTATCGCGTCATTGTAAATATATATTAGCAGTTCTTTTTTTCACAATAAAATGAAACGTTCTCTCTGAATACGCCTATACTTGAGGGCTTTCGAAGGCTTAACGCTTTGCTTTCCGAGAATATGTAGAGCAATGTCCCTTTATTACATTACACGATATCGTGTATCAAAGATACAAAATTGGAGTTTTTCAAAATGAAGTCGCAATGGATTGTGAGAATTTTCACATATTTTTTTATTATTTAATGTTATAGATATGTATTATGTAGAAGAATGTATATACGGCGTAACGTATAGGATGGAGCATTAACTCTGTCCTCTTTGAATATTTCTAAACTAATGATTATTGAAGAAATAATCTCGGATAAAAGTTTATCTGTCGCAAGTACGATATTCGTACGGGCGACTAAACTTGGAACAAAAATACGCATAATATTTTATTCCTATGTATATACCAAATTTAATATCTAACATTGTTTTGTCAGTTAAATTCTTTTTTAAGATATTTAAAATAGAGATAGAATTATTGTTCCCCGCCCCGCTCCTCCCCGTCCTATGTATCGATAAAAACGTGTGTATATACACACATATCCATATATACATATATATTTTTATATGTATTCGTATAATCCAGATCTTGTACCACATATTACATAATAGTTGTTTCACGTTACTGTTTTATTTTAAAGTAATCAGTTTCTACATCGAAAGTAGGGAACATTTTTTTTTCTTTTTTGGGTTAAAAAATTTGCACGGAAATTTTTAAAGGTTCCATATCCGACATAGTTACTGAGTAATTGGTTTTTAGTGTTTATAAACTTTTTATGGAATTAATATGCTGAAAAAGAGTAACGTTGAAAATGTAATATCAGGTGTACAATTTCTGGGCTGTGATTATCGCATAAATTATAACTAGATAAAGAGGGAATCAGTCTTATCTCCATTTAGCAAAATTAATCAGCATAAACATATAAATATTTCACCGCCAAAGTACATTATAGTTAAACGGAACAATTATATTTGCACTATGTATATTTTGCATAATAACTTAGGTTGCACGAGATACAAAATGATTATAATTATCATACAGCACGTAGAGGTCATGATAAGTAGAATTTCATGTAAGAACTTTTGCAGTTACATTTTTTTTATCTTTGCTAACAGAGAGGATGTTAATATTATATAACAGATAGCATACATGATAGCAATGTATTAAATAATGTTGTGCCACAAGCGTATTCTTTTAAAAAAAGATATTCTGACATTTATCAGAATATAATTTTAACATAATATTCATGTTAAAGAGAGAGAGAGAGCGAGCGAGAGAGAGAGAGGCACATTATCATTTTTATAAGACACACAGTCGTGAATGTTTAATACAAACGGTATTTTATATATTGATGTATGAACGGGATGATATCACACACATTGTTCTGTTTTAACATGTCTCATATTATTGTCATTAATAAGATATTTATATCTGAACTCTGTTAAAAAATCTTTAAATTGCAAAAATATTTTCTTGTCATTGAAAGAGTAATTAGGATGTTATTTATATATTTAATTCTTATTGCGGTAGAATAGAAACTTATTCTTCAGGAAATATTTTCTAAAATTGATTTAGACTTAAACAGAGCGATCAGGATTAGAGAACAAATGAACAGTTCTGTAAACTGATCGAGAATAAGTGAGGAATGTACAAATATACATATAAACAACATCAAATTATTAATTATTATAACAACATATTATAGGCGAGACTGATCATCACTCATCTAGATATTTAACACTATAAAATTAATTTATATCGAGTTTATAAATCTCGATATAAATGGTTGGATATGTATTTTAAAGTCCAGTAGCATTTATCGTTTTATTATATACTTTTTGTATTGCCAATAGAAGTATTATTCAATCCAGAATTTTTGTTACAATATGGATATTTTCAAAATGTCAATCTATATAATTTTTCATAAAATTATTCACAAATCCTCATTTTTAACAGTGTTTGTATAATTATCGATTTTATATTCAGTATCAAGTATTTATTTACTGCTTTATAAAAATCTGTAAGAAAGTTGTGTATTATTGTTTTAATTACAAATGTGGAAGACAATGTTTATGAAAAACTAAAAACAGAATTTGAATTTAACAAAAGAAGAAAACGCATCTAATTAAATGGCAAGTACTTTATACTATTGCACTTGATTTAACGCTAAGTTATATAATATTGAACGAACATAAGGTATAAGTTTAAAAACACGAAATTCGGCATCTTTTTTTTTTCTATCATATAGAAACAGTAATTTGTAGTGCCATCCGGATAATACAATTAATATTAAAATTCTATGAACGCTATTTTTTGTGCGTCCCTACTGTAAATAACATGTATAATTATGAAAGGCATATATATATATATATATATATATATATATATATATATATATATATATATTGTACATAAAATAAAAATTATTTAATGCAAATTATAGATTTGTCTGAAGAAAGATGTATAAGTGAGATTTTAAGAAAAAACTAGTTATATTTTGCAGCTTTGTACATAAATATTTACATACATATGTTTTTGTACATATCATGCTCAATGAAAATTTTTATTAACAATTCCATATTTAATTCCTCGTGTTCAGTGACACATCGGGTAAGTAAAGGACTCTGCAAAAAAAATGGGAAAAGTGGTTTCAGTAAAATTGTTTAAAAATTGAATATATTGGAGTTTTTGATCTCCTGATGATAAATTTCATGGGAATTTCAAAATCTTCGAATATTAACAAATCTTTTTGCTACAGATATTCGAAAGCGATATTAGATTCACGTATGCTGAAGATATATTGTTTAGTTCGACATATGACGAACCGTGGATCCTTATCTCTGCTGACACACATACACACACACATACGCACTCATAATTGCATATATACACACAAGAAATTAATTATAAATCACGTTTACATAGTTAATCCTGAGTAACGCAGAGTAGGAAAACTGCAAAATCATACACAACACGCACATACCAACATACACATATATTTCCACGTCAATGTCAAACTAATCGATAGCATATGTGAATCTAATGTCGCTTTCGTACGTAATAGTTTAAAAATATTTGTAAATAATAAATCTATAAGTAACGCTCCATGATATATATTTTGCTGCAAAATAATATTAAAAATAAGACATACTAGGCCTTCTTGAGTTTTTTCTTTTTCTTTAAAATTCGGTAACGTCGCCAAATTGAATGTCTCGTCCTTCGAAGAACCTTGGCTAAATCGACATATTTGCGGCTCTCGTCAAGAGATGGATTATTCTCTAGATGATCTATTATCATCTGGTCCTCATCAGGTTTATATCTAGCAATTTCAATTTATATTTTAATTTTAGTTAATTTCTATCGATACAAAAAATATATTTATGAAATAATATGTTTAACACGTGATTTTAGAACAATTAACAAAAATACAAGAAATGAAAATCATGCATATAATAACTGTTACATAAATAATACATAAATGAATTTTCTTATATGGATTTTTTTTTACCTGGTTTGTACATTGTCTTTATATAAATTTCTGAACCTATGATAAACACTGTACAAGGTTCTATTTGGTAGACCATTAGCCAAAAACTGTACAAATTTCCGTCTTTGTGAAATATGACGTATGTATGTCGCTGTACCTGTCCTCAATTGCAGAAATGGCTTTTGATTTATTTCATCCCAATTATGTAGCTGTTTAAAAATATACAATGTAAGCATCTTATGTTCAAGACAAAAATAAAAAAATTTCTTACACACCAGAAGAGAATATATTTGTATACACTAACCGTACAAAATCTTTTCCAATTACGAACAATAATTTCATCTTCCTCAACCGAATATGTACCTTTCTTGAGAGGCACTATCTTCTCAAATTGTTCTATTATTTCCTTGGACGGTATATGGGATCCTGCTCGTGTCTCAATTTTATGTTGCGGTGGCACCGTGTGTTCCAGTTGTACGGACAGATTGAACAATTTCTGCAATGAAAAAGAATTGTACATACATTTTATTTGGCAAGCTTTCGAATTTCTCTGGTCTATTATTACTATCGAATCTTTTTCAGGTAGTTCCTCTTGCGATAGCATCTTTTTCGCTAAGTAGGTTGCATCGCTGCAGTTATCCGATATTTCATTTTTAAATTTCACATTTGGCTTAAAATCATCATCACTGTCACATGATGTATTATCGATAATTTTATTATCAATTTCCTGATCTGATGTTTTCTCTTCATTTTTTTCTTTCTTTAATTTCTCCATCGTATGTAAAAACGAGTTGTAAAATACACTGTGATAACTTAACCTCACTAACTACGTTAAGGCTGCGTTCGGAAAGTTACTCGAGTACTCTCCCTCTCTTTTTATCTCACTCTTGTATTTCGCTCACTTCAACGGCTATTGTCTAGTAGTGTGCACACAGTGTGTGTTTCGGAACGCAGCCTAAATCGCATTCAACGATTTACACCTATTTCTACCAACTTTAGTTAACCGACTGATTATTCCAGCAGAATGAACCAATCGCATTTGTCAATTCTGACTAACGAGAAATGCGATTGGTCAATTCCGTTGAAATAACCAGGGTAACGTTTCAAAATACTATTCGGTAGGTAGAGTAACATTTAATTAACCAATCACGGTAAAGAAATTTTAGTTTTTTTTGTTATAATTATGCCTATTTCTACCATTTTTGGTTAACTTAACTGGCTGGTTATTCTAATGGAATTGATCAGTTGCATCTGTCAATTCTGATTAACGAGAAATGCGATTGGTCAATTCCAATGGAATAATTGGCCGGTTAACTAAAATTGGTAGAAACGAGCATTAGTCAATTAAACGCTACACCACCCACCGAGTAAAATTTCGAAACGTAGCTCAAACGATTAAGTTAACCAAAGTTAGTAGAAACGGACATAAAGCCCGTATCAGAGGCGTTTTTTCGTTTCTTGACCACGATATCGTTTGGTTGGTTGGTTTGGTCCACTTAACGCTCGCAATGCCTCGAGCAACAAAGATAGAATAACACTCGCGGCGTTGCGAGCGTTAAGTGGACTAAACTAACCAAGCAAACGCTATTGTGGTTACGAAACGAAAAAACGCCTCAGACTATAGATTAGGATTGAGATTGAATTAAAATTTAGCCAATCAGAGCAAATTTACTAAGCTCAAGTTTGATGAATTTTGCTCTGATTGGCCAATTTTCAATTCAATTTCAAGGTTTGTCTCGTCGCATGCCCCAATGTACTCCTACTCGCTCCAGAGCACTCTGATTGGTTCAGGTCACCACGCGGACCAATCAGAGTGCGTTGAAGCGAGTAAGAGCACGTTGGGGCATGCGACGCGAACAAACCTTCAATCTTAATCCATAGGCTAATACGAGTTTAACACATTAATCGCAAGTGTCTCATCGGGACGTAGCTGTTGTTTTTAGAACACTCGACTGTAAAGGCTGGTTTATGATGGCCGTAATCCGTTAATTTATGCCGGAATCGTAAAAAAATTGATCAATCATAGTCGAATTATAGAAGAATAATTGACTGTGATTGGTCAATTTTTTACGGTTTTGGCATAAGTTAACGGATTATACCATCATAAACCAGCCTTAAGGCCCTTGCAGAATGACAAGCAACAGGCAATAGGAATTCGGATTGGTCAATTATTTCTATTCCCTGTTCTTATTGGCTAATGCCTATTCCTATTGCCTGTAACCTGTCATTGTGCAAGAGCCTTTACAGCACTGTGTCAAACAAATAGCAACACACCGGTGTGGCTGTTCTCAGAGACTTCTAGTTACTGTCGATTTCAGATTCTCAAGCGACAAAACCGAGTAATCGGCGAACGGTGAGGATGTCGACGGATTTTTACATACGCTACTACGTTGGCCACAAGGGCAAGTTCGGCCACGAGTTCCTCGAGTTCGAGTTTCGGCCGGACGGCAAGCTACGTTATGCTAATAACTCTAATTACAAAAATGACACGATGATCCGGAAGGAAGCGTACGTGCACCAGTGTGTGATGGAGGAGTTGAAGCGAATTATTCAAGACTCTGAGATCATGCAGGAGGACGATTCGCTCTGGCCACAGCCCGATCGCGTGGGTCGGCAAGAACTGGAGATCGTAATCGGCGACGAACATATATCATTCACCACCTCTAAGACCGGGTCTCTTCTGGACGTCAACCAATCGCGCGATCCGGAGGGTTTGCGATGCTTCTACTACCTTGTACAGGACCTCAAGTGCTTGGTGTTCTCGCTGATAGGATTGCACTTCAAGATAAAGCCCATATAAATTTCAAATCCCGCTTGTGTGACGAAATATAACAATGTTATGACGATAAGACGTATCCTGATAAAATGTCTTCTAATAAAATGCAAAGCCTTTTGTAATTGTCTTCATTTGTTTTCCTCGTGTTTGCAAGAGAGAAGTCTAGGTTAAGTTGCATTTTTACGCAAGCTTCGGAATGCGTCATCATGTCTTACCTAACCTAACCTATTTTATCCGAGAAATTCATAAGACGCCGAGATTCCGTCGAGATAAGACTATACGAGACGCTTGTTGTATCCAAAGCAGCACGCTTGCTTTAGTCTTTCGCGAAAATACGCTTAATCGATGCCTGTTCGTGCGTGAAACAAAGTTTACAAAGTTGGAACAGTCGTTCAAGAAGAAACAGGTTAATGAGGATATATGCTTGTAAAGAAAGTTTGACTAATCTTTCATCTAACAAACTATGTGAATATCAGATAAAACTTATGAATATCTACGATTAATAAGTAAGCGTCGATATTGCGTCTTGTATATAGATGGATGTCATTATCGAGTGATGTATATAAACGATACAAGCATTCCTGTTTTGGATCATTACTCACGAATTTTGCACGGTGGTTGCACGCGTTTGGATACCATTCGTTTTCATACAAAGGTAATATTAACCAGTGATTAGAATAGATAAATTTTAACACGCGCCGCGTGCTTTTGTGAAACGTAGCTACGTTTAAATATTATATACATATACACATGTGTAACACATAATTCTTGAAGTTGATACTATTTCTAACCTAACAATCTGATTTTTGCTCATTCGCGCGTTGACAAGTTTCGCGAATATTTCTCAGTGCAATACATTTTGAACATGGTGGAATTTCTGTAGATTGTTTTGCAGTGTGTGGTGTTACAGCAGTTTTAATTGCAGGTGCAATATGTCCATCAGACAAGAGCTAAAAGAGGACTTAAAAGAAGTAGTTAAGGAAATGGTGAAGAGTCAGATGAGAGAGGAGATGGAAACAATGACAAGGAGAATGAAAGAGATGGAAAAGAAATGGAAAAGAGAGAGAGAGGAAATGAGGGATAAAATAGAGGAGTTTGAAAGAAGGCGGAAAGAAGAAGAGGAAGAGAGGAGGAAAGAAAGGGAAGGAAAAGATAATGACAAAAACGTCGATTATCAGGAAGAAGAACGTGTCGTTATAGATGCTGTTCATGAAAGATTTCGGAGGAGAGATAACATTATGTATATCCGTTGTGACGATTGCGACAGCAGGATCCCGTGGGACGATAGTGCTATAAGGAATCACTTCAATAATTTGCATCCCTCGAACAGTCATTGTTACTACTGCAAAGGCAAAGTATTTATATATCAAAAAGTAATTATAATGGATGGTAAGGAGACATTGGATGAGATTGTATATCACAAATGTGATTATAATCAGCAAGCAGAGATAAGTGCATAAAAAGAACCTGTAGAAGTGTCAATTGCTTATTAATCTTTTAAGTGTAAGATGTACAGATTTAAAATCTCTAATGGAGATTTTATGATATGCACATCATTAACATCATGTCTTTCTGACATGATATTAATCAGATATCCTATGCTACAATTATATAAATAAGCTGGCAATATTTATATCTTCTGACTATAGCAATAGGTTATTCTTGACAATACTTTTGATATGTTATATATTAGATAGTATTGCAAAATATAATGTACAAATTGTTGATTACTCTTGTTGATAACTGCTGTTCATGTATTATATATATACACACGCATCTTATATATGCATGATAGTGAATATGAAGTGAAAGATATTAATTCTCAAAATATATAATAGTTTAAAGATTAATCTAAAGAAATGAAACTTTTGAATTCTTTAGAATAATATAACTTATGTACTTTGTAGTCTTTGTCTAGATACACTTTAGAATTAAACTTCTTTTTATACAATATTGCAGTGTGCAATATATTATACAAGTCCAAAATATAACATTGCTGTAATTAAAAGTACAAAGGATAATTTTTTAAAGTAAATCCTTATAGATCTGATATATAAGATAATGATCTGATATATAAGATAATGATCTAATATATAAGATAATAATCTGATATATAAGATAATGATCTAATATATAAGATAATGATCTGATATATAAGATAATTTTGCTATTAACTGCGATATTCTTTTATAAGGATTTTTATATAAAAAAGGAAGTATGACCTTAAGAGATAAAGAAATGTATTAAAGTTACCTGATAAAACATAGATCTTCTATTGCAGATAAGATATGTACATTATTCTACGTGGGTAAAAAATACAATCACTTCTATTGTATAGAATGAAAACTTATATTATAAACTTTGAGCTTTACAAATACACAAGAGTCAATTTCAAGTACAAAGGTACACGAATTTGTACATAGTGTTTATTTTTCTATAACTAACATTCATTGTAAAATATTTCCAGTATTTTAATTATACATCATAAAACTTTGATTTATTCAATAGAAACAAGTAATTTTTAACAAAGTTCGATAGTTTATTTATTAAATCTCCTATGGTAGAAGTTCATTTGTCAAATAGACAATTTTTTTATTTAAATGTATAATATATAATTCCTGTCTGTGACACACATCACACAACTATATGTGTATATATAAATTTATAAATTATATAAGTGAACTTTAAAATAAACATTTTTACTAGATTACATTAACTATTTCATTTCTATTACATTTACCACATCTATTAGATTAACCTTCCTAGTGGTAATATAGAAATTTCTAGTGATGTACTAAAATTTAAATGAGATAAAAGAACTTGTACAACATAGAGAGTTTATATATATTTATTCATAACATAAGTAAAAGAATAAAATAAAATTTTATGAAATTAATTTAGTAATATTAATATGTTAAATAAAAAAGCGCATATATCACACGTAAATTCATCAAGACAGTCCCATAGGACAGCATACAATGTATGTATGTAGAATCTTTTTTATTTTTTATAATTATAAATATCGATATTTTCTCCAGATCTCTTTTGTATTCTTATCACACCTGTGTATGTATTCTAATATATGTTATGGCACATATATACGCACGGATCTTTTATCAAAACTCTAGTTATATAAATTATAATATGTACGAGATTTTTAGAAAAGATACGTGTGTGTACGTGTATGTGTATATTGTGTATGTGTAATATTTCATTGTTTTACAAATGTGCGAACTGCAGTTAAATTTAACAGAAGTTATAGCTATGAGCATGCAGTAAAAAAGCTTGCATACTTATTTCATGTGTAATAACATAATATCTGAGTGTGTATAATTTTCTAACTCTACATTTAAAAGATTAGAAAAGTACAGATATTCAACATATAGATATCCATAGACAATTATATAAGTTATATTGGCTGTAAAATGCCCTGTATGCAAATACATATGAAGCTAATACTGACATTATGATGTAAATACCATAGACACGTACCAAATACAATTTGCAAGTGTACATAAGTTTCTTTTTTATTTAATAGAACTAGTCACATGATAGGTTTTTTCAATATTATGAAACTGACACTACTTTTTATCACATTCATTTACCAAGTGGGAATTTTCTTATATCACACCCATGTGTATTCTAAAAGACATATCACGATCTCTCTCTCTCTCTCTCTCTCTCTCTCTCTCTCTCTCTCTCTCTCTC